GTGGGCGAAAGATCGGGGCCCGTTTCGGGCGCGCTTGGCCGGGCTGCTGCATGGCTTGGCGCCGCCACCGCCGCCGGCCGTCGAGCGTCGAGAAGCGAGATCGACCATGTCGTCGAACCTGTGCGCGGCGCAGAAGCGAGCGCGGCCCCCCTCCTCGCCGTACCTCGGACGCTTCAGGCAGCCGGGTTCTCCGCAACGCGGGTTCTGTTTTTTACGTGTTTGCGCGAAAGACGGCGCGGGGGGGGCAATTTCGTCCCGTGTCTCTGCTGACATGCATAGGTCACAACATTAATTGATCCCTGTCGTCACATCCTTGTGAACGCCTTGATAGGGGCGGGGAGGTTTTGCACAAGGTAAGGAAAGCGGAGGGACGAAGTGCGTCTGGCCGATCAACGAACGCTACGTCAAGGTGCGGACCTGGAACATTTCAGTTACAGGTTTGTAACAGAAGCGCGGGCGCGAGGCCTGCCCTTCGACCTCGAAAAGAGAAAAAAATGCGCTTGGCGACGGCGGCGGTCCGCCATTGTCATGTCTTTTCACCGAAAACCCCACGGTCATGGCAAACCGGGAATCTCGCGCCTGCTTGGACATGCACTAGCGCAAGGGTGTGGGCCACATCATCATCATCATCATCATCATCAGCAGCAGCAGCAGCATGACAACTATATAGGTGCCCCTCATTCAACAGCAGCTACTTAGGATGAATCTCTCCGCACTCGTCCAATACATGGTAACACACGCGATACGACCGACACTCTCTACAAACGACATGGTGTGCAAGGAGAAAGAACCCTCACCTTGACGTCAAGCATGTTCTCGATCTTGTGCGCGCTGCAGAAGCGGGCCTTCTCCCCCTCCCAGCCGAAAGTCGGCTGACGAACACATCCGAGCTCAGACTCGCATCGAGGGTGCTGTTCGTTGTGTAGCAAACAAGACACAGCAGTAGCAAAAAACACATCAGAAGAGAAGGGAACACTACTTCACCGTTGCAGATTACATGGAGTGGTAGGTGGGGTGCGGGAATGGAAGACCGCAGGTTTTTGAAGGTGAACCAAGGTCAAGGTTTGCGGCGGTGGGGGACGGGCGGCCCAAGGAGAAAGGGGCGGAGAGATGGCGCCCCCCAAAATCGACTTTCAAGGCTCGATTGCTCCACAACCAAGGGGGGGGGGA